CCCCCCTTATGTCATTGGCATTGTAGGGATGGGAAGTGGATGGTTTAAGGATTACAGCATGCGTTTACATTAGCCCCCCCCCCCCCCCGGTGCATCGTAGGGACGCGAGGTCAATGGTCTAACGAATACGGCGTACGTCCCCTCCGTTGTTGCTTTTCCAGACGCACACCATACCGCAGACGCGATCGTACAGCCACCAGGTGGCCACTCGCTGGTACCGCGCGCCAGAGCTCCTCTACGGCGCAAGAAGGCGCGTATTGATATACCGTATTCAATGTTTTTTTGCTTGTTTAGGAACGTATGAGACAAGACGTTTCATCTCCCCCACAGATACGAGTCTTGGATAGAGTAGCAACGAATTTCTTGCGTCAGCGGAAGTATTTCCTGTGTTTCTTGAAGTTTTCGTTTTTGGTTCGTTGATGGTTTTGGAGTCAATAATCACGTCAGCTGTTGTGGCCTGTTGAACTTGAGGAGCGTCCTAGCCAATTGGCGGGCCTGCTTTCTTGTTGTTTTGCATCTCGCGTCACCCCTTGATGAAAGTGTTGTGCTCTCATTGATGCGCCCTTTCCGGAGGGCCTACGGTATTGTGTTACACGCGTATTTAGTGCATGGGTGCCATGCGTGAGAGCCTGTTGTTGTTCGAACGCTGTAGGCATGTATCATAGGTCAACGGACGGTTTAATAGCATGAATTGCGCCGTTTTTCCTGCGCTTGACCCGTGACAGGTTGAAAGTCGGCGCGCCTTTTGCTTGTTGTTCTCGGGTCCTGTGTGATGATGCGCCCAGGAAATGTTCCGCAAGAATGGTGTAAAAGACGGACCTCCAGAATAGATGAGCCGACGCTCACCCACACACACATTTCTAGGAGCGGTTTTCGTTTTTTGGTCGCGCTGAGACTGACGTCTTTTCATTTGGGTTTGCGCGGTCGATGCCAACTAACGATATTCTCAAACACTAACACACACACACACTCTTACGATTTTCTTCTGGTTCCATCTTTCATCATATACATATTTTCGTTCTAGAAAGGTATACCCACCCCTTCTTTTGGTACAATAGTTGGCTTGTGGCCACGGAAGGCGTCCGCGTCAGTTGTACTGTTATAGTACGGACATTGGAAGGTACGGAGCGGAGACCGGAACGGTTTTTTAATGTGAAGACAACAACAACAACAAAAACAACACAATAGTAACCACACAACCAACAACACACGTCCACAGGTACGGGTTTGCTGTGGACATGTGGGCGGCCGGGGCGGTGGTAGGAGAGATGCTGGCGGGCCGACCTTTGTTTCCGGGAAGGAGCGACATCGACCAACTCTACAAGATTCTCCAGGTGACGGTTTCGTTTCCACCACCGCTTGATTGCCGCTCGTGTGTAGTCGGTGCGAAGGGGCGGGGGGGGGGGGTTGTGAAGTTTGGAAGTTTTCCAACCCCACAATATCCTCCTTGTGAGGATGTCGTTGGGCTTTCTATCACCGCTAGGTTCCTGTTCGTGTATTGTAGTGGGTGAGAGGGAGGGTGCCGTCGTGTAAACGCATGCCGCAGTCGTTAGACCATTGGCCTCGCATCCTCCCTGCAATGCATGCCGGACGGAGCGATATGCACGTCGGATTCTCGCCGTCCCAGGCTGTGTATCACAAGGGGCGGGGGGTTTGCGACGTTGACCAACTTCGGGAGATTCTCCACCCGAATTTTTTGTCGACGTTTTCCACCACCGCTAGATTGCTGTTCGAGTAGATGGCGAGAAGGGTGGGAGTGTTGTTTACGTTGAGGTTAGGCCTTTCCCCATTCTGCTTGGGCGTCAACAAGCGTAAACGTATTTTGAAATTTATGGGATAAGTCGGGAAAAACAATTACCGAATTGAGCACAATTGGCCAAAAAAACCAATCGTAAACGGCGGCAGCTTTGGGCATTTTTTCGAGCATGAATTGCCCAAACAATGTGCGTATGCTTGCTTTAAAAAAAGCGGCATGAAATATTTCGGGAAAAAAAAATGATTCGCATTATGAAGCAGAGTGGGGAAACACCTGGTTGAGGCGATGGTTTGGTCCGCGGTTCCATGACCACCGCCATCGCAGGTTGCCTTACGAGACCACGCATTACAGTACCCTAGAACAATTTCATGGCTAGTTTACTAGGTTACCTCTTGCAGCGGAAAACAGCGGTGGTGGGCGCCGAGCATGGCAGCGTTGGAACGTTCATCTACGGGGTGATGCCACCAACAGCCAGCACGATACGACACCACCACCATCGCCAACGACAACACCAAATCACGTACGACATGGTGCGATATGACACACAGCGAACCATGTGGTACGATGTTTTTTGCATCACCCGCGAATGACACCACCGCCAACACCTGTGTACTGTACGGCATACGATGTGTTGATGATCTACGATCCCCACGTTACGACACACAGCACACTATGAAGGACATACGGAACCGATGTTGTGCACCATCTACGGTACGACAACCAACACCACCAACACAAAAAAAAAAACATTTACGACATGGTGCGATGTTTTCGTCATGTCAGGTGACGGGGAGCCCAACGGACGAGAGCTGGCCGGGAGTGAAAGACCTTCCCGACTACGACAAAGTAAGATGGCGACGCTTCGAATATTGTTGCAGCCGCCCAACTGGTTTCAGCCGCGTTTCTCTCGTACACCAACAGGTTTTCTTAAGTCGTGTCTCTTCCACCGACGCTAGCCGTCTAGTCTATTGTAGTCTCTCCGGGCATTCTGCAACGGCAACATATATTTTTCTTCTCCTTTTCGCCGTAAACTGCCGCTGCTAGCCGTCCGAATCTGATTTCTCCTTACGCTGCGACTACCAGGTCTTTAGTCTTTTCCTTCACACCGATGCTAGTCGTCTCGTCTAGTCTGCATTCTGATGGCGTTGCCGCAACGGCAACATATATTTTCTTCTCTTTTTACGCCGTAAACAGATTCTGCTAAGAGTCGTCCAAATCTGATTTCTCCTTACGCTGCGACACCAAGTCTATTTTCTTGACTTTTACACCGTAGCCGCTAGTAGTAAATAGTCTTCTAAATCTGGTTTCTTCCGACGGTGCCCCCAAAAGGTCTGCTTCGCGGAGATGCCGCCCCAAGACGCTTCCGTCACTTTTCAGGGGTCGTCCCGGGAGGCGTGCGACCTTACCCAGGGGATGCTTCGCTTGGATCCCCGCAATCGGACGCCTGCTCTGAAGGCCCTCCAGCACAGGTACAATAAATGGGTCTGGCCAACTACAGTTGCGATTGACCGTCTATGTAGAGCAACTGGACAGTTCGTAGGTCTGGTCAGCTAGCTGCAATTTAGCGCTCATGTAGGGCGTTTGCACCGGAAGTAGGTCTGGCCAGCTATCTGCGAATGAGCGTTTTCGTTGTTCAGAGCAACTGCGCACGTAGTATGCACAGGTAGTACTAGGTCTGACCAACTACAGTTGACCGCTTGAGTGTTTATGTCGAGCAACTGCACAGGTAGCATAGTAGGTCTGGCCAACCACAGGTGCACCGATTGAGCATTTCCTTTGTGTAGAGCAACTTCACAGGTACTACATAGGTCTGGCCGACCACAGTTGCACCGATTGAGCGTTTCCGTCGTGTAGGAGAATCACACCCCTGGTTGGTTATCGCGACGAGGGAAGTCAAGGGTTAGCTCTTGTCCGCGTCTCCCGTCGGCCAACGTTGTGACGATCTTTGTACTCACCCACGATGCTTGGCTCTCGAGTGCATCGCCCAGCATAATCACCGCCGTAAAACGTAGACGGGCCCGGGAAAAACCCTTCTTTTCCCTTCGTCTCGGCATGCTAGGTATGCGAGGTCTACGGCCAACGGCATGCGTTCGCATGAGCGTACCCCCCCCCCCCCCCCCCCCCCCCCCCCCC